GGGATCCTCAGGGATAACTGGGATTCCTTGGGGACCAGGGGGATCCTCAGGGATAACTGGGATTCCCTGGGGACCATTATGATCCTCAGGGATAACTGGGATTCCCTGGGGACCATTGGGATCCTCAGGGATAACTGGGATTCCCTGGGGACCATTGGGATCCTCAGGGACCACCGTAATTCCTGGGGATCACCACAATTCCTGGGGATCACCAAAATCCTTGGGGAACAACATGATCCTTGGGAACTACAAGGGATCCCAAGGGACCACCAGGATCCTCAGGGACCATCACAATCCCTGGGAACCACTGGGATCCCTGGGGACCACCACACTCCCACTCCTCTCCTCAGGTGTATCCCAATCCCCCAACCCCCACCACCAGTGCTCACCCCCGTGGCTGTGGGAAGGCTGGAGGTTCCCCACCCCCCCTCCCCACCTCCCAGCTCCAGGAAAACATTGGGAAAACCTAAAGGGAAGAGGATGAGGGGGGGAAAAACTCTGGGACGGCAGCCAGGTTGTGGGTCTTACCGGTTGTGCTGTGAGCTGGGGAGTCCCTCTGGAGATGGAGGGGGAGAATGAGGGATGGAGGAGAAGGGGGGGATGGGGGAGAAGGGGGAGATGGAGGAGAAGGGAGGATGGAGGAGAAGGAAGAAGGATGGAGGAGAAGGAAGAAGGATGGAGGAGAAGGAAGAAGGATGGAGGAGAAGGAAGAAGGATGGAGGAGAAGGAAGAAGGATGGAGGAGAAGGAAGAAGGATGGAGGAGAAGGAAGAAGGATGGAGGAGAAGGAAGAAGGATGGAGGAGAAGGAAGAAGGATGGAGGAGAAGGAAGAAGGATGGAGGAGAAGGAAGAAGGATGGAGGAGAAGGAAGAAGGATGGAGGAGAAGGAAGAAGGATGGAGGAGAAGGAAGAAGGATGGAGGAGAAGGAAGAAGGATGGAGGAGAAGGAAGAAGGATGGAGGAGAAGGAAGAAGGATGGAGGAGAAGGAAGAAGGATGGAGGAGAAGGAAGAAGGATGGAGGAGAAGGAAGAAGGATGGAGGAGAAGGAAGAAGGATGGAGGAGAAGGAAGAAGGATGGAGGAGAAGGAAGAAGGATGGAGGAGAAGGAAGAAGGATGGAGGAGAAGGAAGAAGGATGGAGGAGAAGGAAGAAGGATGGAGGAGAAGGAAGAAGGATGGAGGAGAAGGAAGAAGGATGGAGGAGAAGGAAGAAGGATGGAGGAGAAGGAAGAAGGATGGAGGAGAAGGAAGAAGGATGGAGGAGAAGGAAGAAGGATGGAGGAGAAGGAAGAAGGATGGAGGAGAAGGAAGAAGGATGGAGGAGAAGGAAGAAGGATGGAGGAGAAGGAAGAAGGATGGAGGAGAAGGAAGAAGGATGGAGGAGAAGGAAGAAGGATGGAGGAGAAGGAAGAAGGATGGAGGAGAAGGAAGAAGGATGGAGGAGAAGGAAGAAGGATGGAGGAGAAGGAAGAAGGATGGAGGAGAAGGAAGGGGGGATGGAGGAGGACGGACAGAGGAGGACGAGAAGGATGGATGGAGGAGGATGGAGGAGGATGGATGAACGGAGGAGGATGAACAGAGGAGGATGGATGGACGGAGGAGGAGGGCAGGAGGATGAAGGAGGAGGAGGAGGAGGGCAGGAGGAGGCTGCGTGGCACCAGTTAATGTTTAAGAAGGTCCTGGCGCCGCACTGGGCGCTGCCTGGGGTGACCTTCCCACCACTGCTGGTGACACTGTGCTGGGAAGGGACAGCACGTCCCACGGGATGGCACCAGGGCGTGAAGTTCTCCAGTTGGGAAACCAGTTTCCAGCCTGGCTTGGGCTGGGATGGGGTTTAGGTTGGACAAGGGCTGCTGGTGCTGGAAAACCCAACTGGTTTGGCTTGGGGAGGGGGGAAAAGAGCTCCACAACCCACCCCCTCCAGACCCTGGGAGCACCCAAGTTTGGAATTTTGGCTGGAAAAGGGATGAGGGAGGGGGGAGGTGTGAGCAGATCCCACAGCTCAGTGAACCTCTCACCTTCGTGGTGGGACCCGACCCCCATTACCATGACAACACAAAAAGGTAAAAACGGGGTCATTTTATTCATTCCTTGAGAAAATCCAGCTGGAATTCCCAGCGGGGACAGGCAGGGAGGCAGGTGCCCCCCACAACTTGCTCACTACCCCCCAGCTTCTGGCCATCCATCAGGATGGTCTCCTCCACTGACCCCCCCAAAGCAGACGGTGTCTTCAGGGGGGGTGCCACAACACCCCCTTGGGGAGGTGGGGGGGGGTCCCAGTGAGGTGACAGCGTTGTCCCTCGAGGAGGTGGGGGTGGGGGGGACCCCTGGCCTCACCTGCTGGCCAGGATCTCCTCGCTGGCCAGGCGGGAAAGACGGTGGAAGTTGAAGGGAAGGGGGTTCCTCCAAAAGCGACGATCGCGGCCGAAAACCTGGGCTGGGAAGCAGGGGCTGCCTGTGGGAACAGGTAAGGGGGGGTTGGAAGAAGCCCAGTGAAGCACCTGCTTCCCACCCCCCCTCCCCCAATCCCATTTTCTCTTACCAATGCCATGGAATATCCTGGCAATGGCACGGCCAGAGAACTTCTCCTCCGGGCGGATGGCGAGGAAGCGGCGGATGTCGGCGCGGATCTGGCTCTCCCACCCCGGATCCTGCCGAGGAGGTGGCAGAGGAGGTGACATCCCTCCTCTTCCTCATCCCAAATCCATGTCCCCCACCCTCTAAACCATCTCCCAGAAATCCCAAGCTGACGTTCGGAGCCGGGAGTGGCTCCCAAAGGAAAACACAAAAGTTGGGATTTGCTCACCGTGAGATCGCCGAGATCTTCCTCCTCGGCTTCTTCTTCCTCCTCCTCTTCTTCCTTCTGGAAGTAGTCATGGAGCAGAGCCTTCAGCCTGGAGCTCCTCTCCTCTTCCTCCTCCTCCGAGTGAAGGCCGCAGGTCTGGAATGCCACGCTGTGCCCCGGAGTCAACATTCCTTCCTTTCCCAGTATGGAAAAGCCAGGCCCCAAACTGGGAGCAATAGGAAGGGTAGAAGCACCATGAAGGGGTTGGGGTCTTCTCTCACCTCTGGAAGGCCCGGAAGCAGGCCCGGAGCTGCCCAAGGGCTGTCTTCTCCCTGGCCACCACTTTTCCATGGAGGAAGTCACAGAGGGAATCCAGCTCCTGGTCTGTGAGGTCACCATAGGAGCGGAAGTGGAAGGACAGGTCACCAAATTCCACCAGGATCCCGCTGGTCCCAGTGCCGCCGCCTCCCTCTGGAAGTCACCAAGATCTGGTTGAGTTGATGTCCACCAAAACCTGGGGATTTCCCCCCCTCTCTGGTACCTCGACGTAGCTGCTGATCCCACTGGAGCTGCCGCAGGGAACGTTTCACCAAGGGTGCTTCCCAACCCATGGAATCGCTCAAGGAGATCACGTCGAACTCCAAGGAGCTGCTCTGGCTGTGATCCCTCCCTGCCAGGCGCTCCCGGGCCAGGAACACAGCGACGGGAGGAGAGCTGAGGAACAGGGACACATGGGAACGTCGCTGCCACCCTGGCTTGGAGCTGAAGCAGCTCCCAGAGATTCCCACGGGGAACCCAGCCATCCCTTGGGAATGCTCTAACCTCCGCGCCGCAGCCTGGAGCTGCCGGGATCCCCCGTAGCACCGGATCCGGCAGGAGGAATAAGTGGGATGTAGCAGCTCCAGCCAGCGCCCCGGGTGCAGCTCCAGGTAGCACAGGAGGGTCTCGATGCCTGTGGGATGTCAGGAATGTGGTGGAAGGATCTGGGAGCCACCTCATCCCGAGGCCTCCGTTCCCTGCTCCTCACCTTCTTCCCGCACATCCAGGGCCTCCACGGTGGGTTGGATGGGGATGGATCGTTCGTGCTTGTAACAGACGCGCCGGGGAGCTGCTCCAGAGCCTTCCTCCTCCTCCTCCTTCTCCTCCTCCTCCTCCTCTTTCTTCTCTTCCAAGAGTTTGGCCATTTCAGAATCCTCCACCTCCATGTCCTGAGAGGGACGTGGCACCCGGAGGAGGATGGGAAGAGTCCATTTGGGCTGATCCTGGTCAGGATCCTACACCGCATCCCAGTTTTTCCCTTCTGGGACATCCCAACTCCAGCTCTCCTGCCCATTTCTGGTCAGGATTCTACACCACATTCCACTTCTTCCCTCTTGGGACATCCCAACTTCTTTCCTGCCAATCCCCAGTCAGATCCTACACCACATTCCAGCTGTTCCCTTTTGGCCCATCCCAACTCCAGCTGTCTTGCCTGTTCCTGGTTGGATCCTACACCACATTCCAGCTTTTCCTTCTCTTTTGGGCCATTCTAACTCCTGCTCTCCTGCCTTTTCCTGGCCATTCCTCCACCACATTCCATTTGTTCCTTTTTGGAAGATCTCAACCCCTCTCCTAGTCAGGATCCTACACCACATCCCAGTTTTTCCCTTCTGGGCCATCCCAGCTCCTGGTCTTCCACCCATTTCTGGCCATGATCCTACACCACATTCCAGATGGTCCCTCTTGGGATATCCCAACCCCTCTCCTGGCCAGATCCTACACCACATTCCAGATGGTCCCTCTTGGGATATCCCAACCCCTCTCCTGGCCAGATCCTACACCACATCCCACATTCCCAAGACATCCCTCAGTAGATTTAAGCTCCCCCGATGAGCCCACCCAACAACTCCAAGTGTTTTCTACCTCGTTCCTGAAGGAACCAAGAAGCCTGGAAACCCCCTGAGATGGGATCCCTCAGCTCCTCCCTCACCTTGACAACATTCCGGTGTTTCCTGTGGAGCTCCAAACATTTGCACGGGTCAAAAACCATCCTCACCAACTTCTTGAGGGTGACAAAATCCACCGTGTCCCCATAAATGTGACGCCTCAGCTCGTGGAGATCCCCACCCTGAGGAGGGGGAGAGGAGGGAGGAACCAGCATTGAGCCTTGAGGGAAAACTCCCAAATATTTAGGGAATAAACCCCCCTTTTACCCCAGCAGAATCTACCTCTGGATCCAGGAAAAGATGGCAATGAGCTGGTTCCCCATCCCGGCCGGCCCGGCCGATCTCTTGGACATAAGTCTCAAAGTTCTTTGGCATGTTGTAGTGGATGATCCCACGGACATCTGGCTTGTCCAAGCCCATCCCAAAAGCCACCGTGGCCACCACCACTCGGAGTTGGCCACTCATGAAGTTGTTCTGGACACGGCGACGTTCCGAGGCGGATAACCCGGCGTGATAAGCGTCGGAGACCCACCTGAGGGGGCGGCGGGGGGTCCTCTTGGCTGAGGGGAGGGAGGGACAGGGTTTCATGGAACCACGGGATGGGTTGGAGGGACCTTAAAGCCCATCTAGATCCAACCCCCCTGCATGGGCAGGGACACCTCCCAGCAGCCCAGGCTGCTCCAAGCCCCATCCAACCTGCCCTTCAACACC